ACGATATTTGGAACACATATCTTACAAAATTTTTAAAACGCTATGGTGGTACGAAACTGGAACGTACTAGAGATCTTTTTGAACAATGTTTAGAATATTGTCCACCAAAGTATGCTAAAGGTAATAATAGATAAATAAATGCGCACGCACATATATATACACACACACACACACACACAACTAAAATTTGTATTATCTCTATTAATTGACATTATGTAACAGGATATGATATGTTCGATGTAAAAGAAAAAAAAAAATAACTTCGATTTGATTACAGCCTTATATCTATTATATGCAAAACTAGAAGAAGAGCATGGTTTGGCAAGGCATGCGATGTCTGTATATGAACGTGCGACGAATGCTGTGCTCCCGGAAGAAAAATTTGATGTAATATATTTTCATCGATGCATTCTTTCTTTCTATTAATTTTAACAAATTATATACAATTCTATGTTTATAAAGAAATTTGCTAAATGTTTTGTATTATGTTGAAAAGAGTGCTTATTGTATATTTATTTTTTAGCGTTTTTAGAATTTTTGGGATTATTTCATATTTATATATTTTCCAATCAAAATATGAAATATTTTCCGAAATATAAAATATTTTCAGTATTATTGAAATTGATGATATATTAAAGAATCTATATAAATTCATAGAATAGAAATTGATTTCTTAATTTACAGATGTTTAATATATATATAAAAAAAGCTGCAGACATATATGGTGTACCGAGAACTCGACAAATATACGAAAAGGCCATAGAAGTTCTAAATGACGAAAATACTAGAGAAATGTGTTTACGATTTGCAGAAATGGAGACCAAATTAGGAGAAGTAGATAGAGCAAGAGCGATATATGCACACTGTAGTCAAATATGTGATCCAAGAGTATGATATCATGTTTCTAATACTTTTCAACAAAATTATATTACTCACTTTTTATTCCTTAAATTAAAATGATAGGTTACATCCAACTTTTGGCAAATTTGGAAAGAATTTGAAGTCAGACATGGGAACGAGGATACAATGCGTGAAATGCTTCGAATCAAACGTAGCGTGCAAGCTATGTATAACACTCAAGTAAATATGATGTCTGCACAAATGTTGAATAACGCATCCAATCAAGTATCAGATATTCCAATGGATGCTATGCGTTTATTAGACAGTAAAATTACAAGTGCAGGTAAATAAAGATTAAACATTATTTTTGTTTCTTTATTTTGTAAATCTGGAAGAATCATAAACGATCCCTTGAATCGCAGATAACACTGCCGATCTCAAAGGAGGCATCAAATTTGTACGTGGTGTAACAGAAAAAGATGGTAAATCGGAATCTCATGTAAATAATCCAGATGAGATTGATATCGACATGGATGATGAAAATTATAA